TCATCTGTTTGTCATTGCTGGTGTCATTTTCTGGTTGCTAACAAACGCCATTGTAACACATAATCACTGATGTTCCGCTGTAACGGTGGTGGACTCATCAGAACAGAGTGGGCAAGCTGACCAATCAGAGCACAGTGGGCTCACAGGGAGTGGGGGGCAGGAGGCTCCAACAAGCCTTTAGGACAGAGAGTGAATACACATACTATACAGAGATGCTGTATGAGAAACCAATGTGAGTTTGGAAAATTGAACAATGTAAATATATTCTAGTAGACCTCAACAATGGAATTATGATCAGTAGAAATGGCCATGACATGGAACCTTTAAGATTATGGCTATTGTTTTTCTTTTAGATTTTTCAGCTTCCAAACTGAATTAAAATATTTGTCTTATATTTGTGACATCTATCTGTGAGAAATATTTAGTTTTCACTTTCGAATTTATGACAGTTTAATATCAAGGAATCTTCAGTATTTCTTCTCATAAATTACATTAATGCCGTTTTTCCTTTGAATATTTCCTCCCCACTGGTTCTCTATATATGTGTATTTCACATCAATAATGCTTCTGGTTTTGAAACAGCAATGATCAGAGCACACACATGTGCAGACAGGGTACAGAGATGTGGTTTCAGCCTCACTTTATATGATTGTTGTCTTTCTTGCTGGCATGTTCATCAAATAACAGCTTCACACACTTTGTAAAGCAAGGTTCACAGTAGTGTCATGTTCAAGAGTTGATGTCACCCATTGAAGGGGGCAGGAGAGGAAAATCAGTGTCAGGGTGTGCAAGCTCTGATTTGCCTTATGCAAATATCCAAAAATATACATATGTAAAACATCACCTGCATATTTCCATACTGTGGGGAATTGTTTCTACCAGCATATCTGGAACTAGCAAAACAGGAACACACTTGATCTTGATGTCTGGTGCTGTATACTAATATTCTCGGCTATATTGCAGTGACCCTCAGTGTACAAGTTATTCTTCTGATTATGGTGAGACCTTCCTTTAAAAACATGTGACAGCTTCCACAGACACAGAGAGTCATTAACGTCACAATGTCACCAAGTAGAAAATACATAATTTAGCAACCGGATCATGAGGATACAAGGCCCCATAAGATTAACTCCTACAATATTTATATATATCACAATAATATCAGCTCACAGGTGTACTTGTAGCTTATTCAGAGCTTTCAACCATATTTCTCGGGGTGATTTTAGAGAATGGAGCTCGGTAAAGTGACCATCACTCCATCAGGTCCTGTAATACTCACCTTTGTGACGCTCAGAAATAATCTGAAATGTGTTTTAGTCAATTCTCCTTTGGCTGATTTTTCTATGGGTTGTAAACTAAACCCCACACTTCCTGTAGATGTTTCACATTAAAAAGGATGGGAGGATTTTGCTCTATAGATGTATCATTGCTAGTTATATACTTGGAGCACACCTGAAACACTCACATTATACATGCATTCAAATGAAAAGGTGGAGTTATTATTGCAGCATCATAGATTCATGGCTAACACTATGATTTTACCTTGTTAAGGTTGCTTGGCAACGACCCACTCCAAAGCAATCCACAAGCTGGATGTGCCGTCATTTGATTGGCCGATCGCTCCGTTTCCTAGGCTTGAGTACCCGCTGGAAGAATTTACCAGAGAGAACGCACATGAAGAGGCTCGCTGTCTGGAGGAGGTGTGTGTGTGTGTGTGTGTGTGTGTGTGTGTGTGTGTGTGTGTGTGTGTGTGTGTGTGTGTGTGTGTGTGTGTGTGTGTGTGTGTGTGTGTGTGTGTGTTTAAATCATATATACATTCTCCATAAAGAACACATTTGTTACAAGGCCGTGTTAAAAAATGGCAACTTTCATTTAAATGTTAGAATATTTTATTCACATAAATATCTCAGTATTTTATTTCAATCTTTATAAGAAAAAAAATCATACCAAATATCGTACCAACTCATATAAAATGCTGCTGCTCTCTGCTCACCACTTATAGATGCAATCGCAACTAGCTTAAAAAAAAAAAAGTGATGTTGAGCAGTGATATCTGTGGAAGGAGACATTAGAAAGCTACATTACTTTAGGTTGACAGTACAGTGTGTGGAGCAGTGTTCCATGCATGCTTATTTTCATTAAATATATATGTTTATCAGCACATAGTGCTATAGCTTTGTGCAGTTACTAGCCTGTTAAAATATTATTTGTTTTTGAATGAATGTCATCTGGCCTTATGTCAAATGAAAACAGGAAAAGGAGCAGCTTGTCTCATTTGATTTCTCAATATAATCAAAGTGTGTATTCACTTTAAACTATATGACGTAAAGCTGTCATATATACCCAAACTGGATCTGACAGAAGTGCATGACACAGATCTCTGACAGGTAACTCTGCCCCCTCCTGGTGCTCCATTGCTATGCACAAGTTTCCAGGTTTAGTGTGTCTGGCGAACAGTTAAAAAAACGATTCAAATCCAAAGACAACTCTGTCCAACTTTGAAATTTGTTCTGTCCACCAACATTACAATCAACAAATAAGTTCAGCACCACTCCAGGGATTGTGTCTTATCACATAAAATCACGGTTAACTGTATTTGTTCTATTATCTAATGCCGGCTTATTTATATTTTGAGATGTTTATATTTTAGAATTGTTTATTTCTACTCTTTTAAATTCTGATTATGTGTAATGGCTTGTTTTTTTTATGCTGCTGCAACGAAAATATTTCCCAATTCGGGATCAATAAAGTACATTTTATCTTATTTTATGTATGGCCAATATGCATTATACACACATTACATGTATAAGGTAGCTGCTTGTTAAATGTATATAAAATGTATAATCATATAATAATAATATTAAAGGTGGAGGATCTGATCGTGAAGTGGAGGCAGAAGGGGAAGCCTGTGGCTGGGGTTGTGATCGAACCCATCCAGGCTGAAGGTGGAGATAACCACGCCTCCTCTGACTTCTTCAGGGGACTCCGCGACATCGCACGCAAGGTAACAAACACTCATCACTATAGCAACAGATCTATAAAGGACTTGACTTGTGACTGTGATGGTTGAGCTTCTTATGACTCAGACACTTTGAGAGATGTGTCCAGATGTTTCCATGAAGGCAAATATT